AGCAAATTTGTCAAGATAATTAGTGACATGATCCAGAAGTTATTTCGATTAGACTGAAAGAAAAAGCTTATCATAAAAGAGAACTGGTTATTATCATGGGATCACAGAACAACATATGGGGCATGGGGTTTTTAAATGCTATTTTCATGTGAAAAGTGATTGGCGGCACAGTACTGAACAATTGCAAATTCAACCAACACCACCACACAGCGGGCGGAGAGACAGACAAGTTTCGGGACGGAATAAAATCATCGATGAAAAATGATCAATAGGAATTGTTTTCGAGACATGTAGAAGCGAAATAATTATCAATTGATCGATCTAAGCTACCATTTGTTCATAATGCCGAGGATAAACTTCTATTAACATCTGCTTGGATATCAGAAAACAAGTATGAAGAAAACAATAAACCAACGAACAGAAATTGCCACTGAAAACTCGATAATGTCCTTCAAAAATATTAAATCGAATCGTTTTAAAGTTTCTGGGTAATACCACCCAAAGACACCTCAACTGTACATTTGATGGGTCGAAATGAAGAGACCAGCAGTGGGCCGCGTAAGAGCGGTGAGCAGATTGGCGACGAATGCACTGCGGGGATTAGCACTAATGGTACGAATCGTTGCTCTGAACTACAGACACGTTCTATTATCAGTAGCGAGCAGAAACTTGATCGCAAGAACGCACTTATCAAGCTTCTGCACTCCTATCATGGACCCGACACCTGGACTGGACCGATTCAAGCGCTGGTCGGCAACGGCATGACCCGAAAATAAGGGGGGTTTGGGAAATGAAAGAGTGCAGACGAAATCCATTTCCCTAATGGGACAACGCAAAATTAGACATGTTGTAGCAATTAAATGTCGAGGGCGTCCAATGCCCCCGATTAGGATTCCTGCATTGCTACGAAAATTATAGTGTGGGAAGTGAAAAAAGTTTGATACATTCTATAACGGGGCAACATTAACCTCCCAACCTCCCCAGATTTTGGCCTTCTGAGAGATCCCTTCATTGTGATTGTGTGTGTAGGAGTTCTTACGAATGGCCACTGTGCCATGCTGATTTCGATTCATTCTGATCTGGCAGAAGTACTGCGATTGGTGACTCGCATGGTGCGCCACACCATCACCGTCAGCTCGGTTGCGCCACCATGGGGCGTGGCCTGAACGCGGGCGATAGAGGCTTGGAGCGAACCGCCGGCGGCGGCATAGGTGTCTATGCTAACAAACGGAGCACCTCATCGCGTCATCTACAACCCATGCTGACGTCTATACTGGCTGCTTTGGCAGCTGCTCTCAGCTCGGTGAGCATGGCCGCTCCGGCTACGGAGAGGTCATTCGTCGAATTACCGGATCGGATGAGTAACGGTACTTTGTATTCAATCAGCCCTTTCTCGCCTAAAGTCTTCGTCCGAACCGATGAATTCGAGCTGAATTATAAGTCATGTGTTGAGTTCTCCTATCGACTCATGGAGAACAAAGTTCGGTGAGTTCTTCGGGATCGTTCTCATAGGACTTTATTGATTCCTCCGTTTCTTTGAATTCCCAAAGCACTGTTGTGGGCTTCCCAAAGCATTTGATTATTTTCTCATCGTCGCGTCCTCTTCACATTGTGCTACTTGCTTCTAGGAATGCGAAAAACTGTTGGCGGTCGGTCCCGCTGACCTAAAATGACTAGAAGAACTATGTGATCGGGGTCTTTTATGTGAATCGCTGTAATTTACTGTGGATTCTTGTCGTAAAGGCCATTCTCCATCATGAAATTCATCCCACATTCAAACTATTGACGGACGCGCTTCTTTTCCTCAAATATCTGACACCGCACATGATGTCTTGGTTCAAATTTGATTGTTTACCTACTATCAATACTGTCCGTTCGCATAGGTGTGATAAGCTGAAAGCGTGTTCGGAATGGTTTTTCCCACCACTTTTGTACAGCATTACTACCTGCCTTTATGGTTGTACAAGTAATTTGTTCACTTATCAAATTACCAACGTCCTGAGAAGGCACCAGCGATATGGCCATCTTGAACGGGGAACGTTAAAAGAAGTGGGAAGGTTTTGCCTCTTATCATAATGGCTGAACATGCGAACCTTCCAACTAAAGAAGCATCCGTCAGCTGTATTGATTGCTGACTTAGGGAATGTCGATATTATCAATCGGGAAACCCCCATGTGTGAAGCTATGGCTTGCTTTCCCTGACCATATAGCCACGTAAAATGGTCGTCACAGAAGGCCAACAAATCGATGAGAAATCTTTTATGTTGTGATGGAAAATCGTTCATCTATACATAAACACAACGAATTTTAGCCTTCGTGCCTACACATGCCTTCTATCTGAGGGCGGTTTTTGTACTCTCGACAAATTTGCCTATCCAAAAGATAAGGAAGGATGTGCCTATCTACGTCCATGGCTGTATGCACATGACAGGTAGGGGCTAATGATACTATCGGGATATTTACTGGNGCAACAAAAATGATTTCCAACAAATTACAGGTATTCGTTCTACTTCGCCCTAGAACGTCGTCCACGAAAATACCGGATTACTAGGAAGAAACCGCAACGAGTGTGGAAACGAAATGGTCAACTGTCCGCTACCCCATTTGGGCAACTTGAACTCAAAGGAATTGTTCCATGTGATCAAGTGTGCGGGAAGAACCCACCTGTCAACAATCGTACAACCTAGAGACGCTAAAGAGGTGAATAATTTCTTTGTAAATCGCTTGTAAATCTAAACAATTCACGGATAATAACTGAATGTTATATAGGCGAATATCCTCTTATCACAGAGTAGGCCACTTCAGTTTATGCAGCCATTTATTCGTTTTTTTTTCTATTCCGTTACATCATTATGTGCCGATGTGTCTCTCACTTGCCCTCCCCTTGCTCGCTTTATCACTGCTATAGATTTTTTTGGTGCCATTTTTTCATTTTTCTTTCTTTTTTACCCCGAGTTCAATGTATGCCTACTTCCTTCTAGGTGAACATAATAGTGTGATAATTAATGATTATGATGTATACGTTCTAGATGTATGCATATTGGGTTCTATACGTCATTTCTGAGAGCGTGATTCTTCCTACCGATTGTCGTTCAACTGAGACGGTTATATGAAGTGCTTAATCATAAGAGGCCAACAGCAAGTGAGTCGGTCGGCCAGCCAGCTCGCTCGCCACGCTTCCATCTCTTCATACGCTTGCGAAGTGTTTGTCTTTCATAGGAACGAAGCTCTCTTCGCACCCGCATAGATCGCTTCTGACTAAGCTTCACCACACAATGCAACATACCCCCCTCCATCAGCTGACATCATCGTTATTAGAACCATATCGCTCGTTCCTATCATCACTACAGTAACACCCCTGCATTTCCGTTTCGCTTTGGGATGCTTTGGGAGGAAAGCGGTGGTCAGTCGGCCGGCCGGCCATGTCGGTCTCTGACGCTCTTGACGCGATAATTCCTAATCAAAACTTTGTATTGTTGGCTCATGTACTCATGAAGCACTTGAAGCTCTCTTGAGCGCTTTCGCACGCACCACGTCCAAAGAGCACCAGCATCACCAGACGGCCGCAGACCGAGATTTTTGTTGTGGAATGGAATTTGGACAAATTGGGGAAGTAAGCGTTCATGCATAGAGCACGAACGCGAGGGTGTTAGGAGGTGGTGGCCCCGCGTTCCTCGCATTGCTCAATACGTCTTCTGTCAATATTCGATTGAAACAACACGAGCATACGCTCAAATAGCCAGAGGAAGAGATCGCGCTAGCCACCTCACGAATCGAACGACTAACATTGCTTGAATTCCTTGGAACCATTACACTCGCGCGAACGCGTGCAACCAAAATAACCACTGAAGCTTCGTTCGCCCTACTGAACTTGAACCCTCCCGAGCCCATGAGACTTCATTCCCATTTCATCAGCTAACTCCAAAAACCATTTCTGCTGAGTGACACTTTGATTCTACCTCTGGGAATCACTTCGGTCAAAAGTGTCCACCTAAGTAGTTTGTCATCCAAAGTTTTGATAATATGGGGTAAAAGCCTCGGAGGACAGGCTTTTTGAAGGCTTTCGAGGAGCTAAAGACCCAATCAAAAAGTTCTCAAAAACTCTCATAACTCCGCGAGGCCTTCTCAAACCTCTGAATTTCACTTTACCTTTCCTCAATAAAAAAACCTATCCGATTTCCTGCGACAATCCGATGGACATTGTTGAGACTGGCACAGCCATTCTCTACGACGATCCTATGACTGTTCAAGACCGGATGTTACGCGAGTCTCAGATGCGTATTCCTACTACAACAAAACATGTAACCTAGTGATGATGCAGCCGCGCTGTCGATTCATGACTAAACGGCTATGTGCTCGATAGTTGCCGCTTACTGATTCACGTACCAGAGGTCACCACATATGGCGATGTTTTGATGCAGAAAACCCCCTTCGTGTTGAGGGCCACAATGAAATCGGCAACATTCCTACGATTAGAAAATGCAGGATCGAAATGGATCTCCTCCTTGAAAATTGGCCCTTTTGAAAAATGTAAAGCCTGCAATCATGTTTTTACCCCCAAAGTCGGGACCTCAATTCCCCTCAGCCTCTTTGTCACTTCTCTGGTTACCAAGAAAAACTTGTTCCAAATCCTACAAAACTTTCAAATTCGTCGAACTTCCACACCCTCCTCCGACCCCCGTGATTCCAGTTGACTGGATTCAGGAGCTCTATCAAACAGTCTTCCCATAACGATTACCTTTCCTCCAACAATCCTATTCTATGATATTCAGAGCGCCACTTAGACCTTCTATGCCAAAGTATGGGCACCTAAACCATTTTTATCGATAAACCGGCCAATTTTAATTTCGCCATCGATCGAAATTTTCGTATGATTTATATACGAAATCAGATTTTCATGCCTATTCCCAATCAAAGTTGAATTCATGCCGTTTATGATGAATTGTGCATCTGAAAAACCTTTATTGGTGGGTGACCTTTCAAAAGAGTGAATCGCTAGCCGGCACACCATCACATTTGGAAGCCTACGGAGGAAAACCTTTTCCAGTGCTATTACGAATACTGACGGAACGAGAAATGCTTCGAATCTTTTCGTTTCCAAACAAACACTGGAAGCGAAAAGTTTGGAAGGCTCAAAATGCTTCTGCTTCTACGAATTTTTCTGAAGATGTCTTCTAAACGAGGGCCTAAACCCAGCCGACTAACTGTTTGGTGCTAATTCGCAAACTTCTTTGCTGCATGGGATAGCTCTTTACCTCTAGCTCATCCATGCAGAGCACCTTTAGCGTCACAGCTAGTTGGCAGACAATGATTAGGATTGCATAGCGTTTCATCCTTTGGAATGCGCCATGCATTCACTTCCCAATCATTCCACCCAGAGCAAATACTACAATTCGTTATCTGACGATATAATATTTAAAAATAATATAAAAATTAGGAATACGAGATCTTCATTTGAAGACTATCCTCGGTTTCAGAGTCAGCTTCTGTTTGATGAAGCCGATTCTTCTATATGATGAAGCCGAAGCGTACAAGGTGTCTTCGTGAGGGTTTCAAAAAAGATCCTCCCTGAAAATTTCCCCTCACCTATCCCTCATTAAGGGCATTCTTGAATGTTTTCTGCACTTTCTATTCCTACTGCTTGTCCCCATCATAAAATTGTCCCCATTCCTGCTTCTGAATGGGCGGGTCCAAAAGTCAAAAGGTCAAAGGTCCCCAACAGGTCACGCCGCTCACGCGACGTTCGACAAGTCGCACCGCGACTAATTAAATGCTAATATCTATTAAATAGAACGATTAACTGATTAACTCGTTCCTAGTTCTTCACCAAATGGTTTTCTCAACAGGGAGAGACGGACGTTCTGTTGGTCCGAAGTGACGTGCGCAGCGATTTGTGACTGTCGTTCCCACATGTCAATCCCACTTAATAACTGGGAACGTTACCTAAATTACCCTTGTCCTGTTTCGTTACTTTTTCTCCGCTTTTATAGAACGGGAAAATTGGAGAATACATGGCATTTCCAGTGCTCCTATCAGATCGCTGAGAAAGTATTTGCCGGAAATTTGGCAGTGGCCCAAAATTTTCTGGAATGATCCCATGGAAATGATATATAAGGACCCCTTTTGTGTGCGCATAACCTATTCGGCTCCACTTCCTTGCTTATTTAACCCCATAGCGGCCGAAGTGTCTCCCTATATTCGACACATGCTTCGTTACGAGTTCAAATCCAGCCGCTCCGCAAATGAAGCCCATCGAAACTTGTGTAAGTAATTGATATGAATCCCTTCTGAGCGATTC